ATTGAGTATGTTGGGCATACGAATGGATCAACTCGGACGCGTCAAGACTACGAACATGTGTGTGCCATGCGAAGGAGTAGGAGACGTGGCCAATCTCGGACCGTGTATGTCACAACCAGGAATTTTGATGTTGTGTAACAACAACAATTATACCAACTATAAACCAACAAGGTGAAAGCATGCATCATGCTTATTCAATAACAAAAAAACTTAAATAAAACACTTTATACAAGCATTGCAAATAATCAACAAAGAATTGGAAACCCTAGAAATCCCGGTTTAAGTCTATTTTGGACTAGGATTTCCTTATTGGGCCCAATGGGTCAATAAGCTTCCAATTTGACTATCTTGGGATTAGAACTCTTAAATGGGCTCTAATTGGACCCACTCCCATTTATTTTAACATTTTGGGACATATTGGGCCTAGAATGAAATAAACTACCCAAATGGACCATGTTGGGCCATAACTAACCTAATTAGCCCTAATGAGCCATAAAAATCATTTCTTGATTTATTTTGGACCGTGAACCCTCTCCCAAGACCAATTGGGCCATAAAATGGACTTAATCACAAAAATCCCAAATTTCTTCCTTGCTTCTCCTTCTCTCGGCCCAACCACACAAATGAAGGAGGGAGAGTTGACTTTTTACTTGCCACTTCACCATTATACATGGGACAACCATGCAAATATCCCATACTTCCAAGCGCCTATCCTTTCATCCCTCTCTCTTCTCCTCTCTCCTTTTCTTCTTCGGCCGAGAACCACATGGGGAAAACACACACACACAAACACAATTCACTCAAACACTCTGAAAGAAACACTCTTGCTTGTTCATCCAAAAATTTTGACGTATAAGGGCTCTTCAAGGAAGTTATTCTACAAAAATCAACATTTAAGGTAAGTTGGCGTTTAAATCCATGATCTAACTACTTCATTTCATCAAAAATCTCCTCCTAATTCTATTCAAACTCATGATCACCATATTAGAACACATATAAGTTCGAGATCTTCCAAGAAGGCTTGCTAGGACCAAGTTTTCTTCATTTCTTCTTTCTAAATCAAAAGCAACAATCAAAGGTGAGTTCATACCCCTCTCTTTTTCGGTTTTTACAAATTTTATGGGGAGAATACAAGCAAAATGTGTAGATCTATGTGTATGTGTGTGTTATGTATGATTTTATGCATGTATGTGTGATTTTATGTGTTTTGTTGATGAATAAGTAACCAAAAGGGAAGAAATCTCGAGATCTATTCCATAAGAAGGAAGAAAACATGATCTAAGTTATATTATACTAAACAAGTCAAGAATATTAACTTATAAGATTGTGATAAACATATTTCAACATAAAACCCATTTTTGGGCTTAAATTGTCAAATAAACAAAAGTTGGGTAAAAAATTATGATTTACGGTTTTCTTAAGGGTCAAAGGAGTCAAAATAGTTACAAAAAATGTTTTTATGAATATTATGCACTTCAAAGGACTTCAAATATAAATATTAGCTTAATGGGCTAATTTTTGGACTTTTTGGCCCAACAAGCCCAAAGTTGCAAAAATCATGAAATTAAAAGGGCTGAAATGGTAAGTTCTTCAAAACAGGGGATAAAAAGTTAAACAAAACTATTTCAAGGGTTAAAAATGTCTTTCTTTTCCAAAAAGGATAAAAAATGTTAAGTTTTTGGATTTTGGGCCAAAATTATAAAAGTTGCAAAAGTTTGGGCTTTAACCGAAAAATACTTTTCTGGAAGGGCTGAAACTACAAAAGAATAATTTTTGAGCTAAAAATATCATTTTAACAAGTTTATGACTCAAAAGTGTCAAGAAAAGAGTTTAAGGATAAAAATGTTTTTTTATAAGGGACTAAAATTGTTGTTTTTATTAAAGAAGGACGGAAAAAGGTCAAACCAATATTCTTATGACAATTATTTTATTTCTAGAATATTGAATAAAAAATGCTAAACTACGACGTACAAAAATCGAAAGATGAATACACGCATAACTCCAAGTATCGTTATAAACAAATCGATCGGTCTCGAGTCGATACAAAAATAACAATCGTTCAATCAAACCCACCAACAATCGTACAATACCTAAGGCAAGTGAACATTCCAAAATCTTGGGCTTAAAGGCTTCAATCATGCTTGTTGGACCTTTGAAATCTATTAGCATGATCTTTGGGCCCAAGGGATAACGATAATATGTTATTGGGCCTTCTATGACCCAATTCCATATTGAAAGGACCCTCAATGGCTTTTAATTGCTATTGGGCCTTAGTGGCCCATTAGCATAGCTAGTAAGGTCAAAGTAATCAAATGCGAGATGGACCACCATGTCCTTCGCATACCCAACATCCTAAAATAACTCACGGAAGCAGTAGGACTTTGTACTCGTCTTCTCCTCGTTTGCTAGGCTTATGAGTAATCAAAGTAAATAGATTCAGGTTGTTAATCAAAAGTAATCAAGGTTGTTTGGATTTAAGTGAGTAATAACGGGCGACGCCTCTAAGGATCGTTCATAGTATGTAGTTATAACTAGTCATTATCATGCATGGTTATAACGACTCACAACAATTAATTAATCCAAAACCATCAAAGTAATCAAGGAAGAGTAATCAAAATCATTCATTGTGGGGGTATAACAATTTAAGAAATCACTGTATTTTATGTATTTGGAAAACATCGGGTTTTCCGGGGAAGTTCAACATTTTCACTTGTATGTTTAATACTAAGTTCTTCAATTATACATGTTTTGAAATCATCATGCATATATGTACGGATCTTAACACCTTTTTACAAACAATGGTCTTTTTTGAAAATATCGGATTTTCTGGGTTGTTCTCGTTCAAACTACACAAAACATTTTCATATCAAAGATGCTTATGAACTTACCAACATTCCATATGTTGACCCATTTTCAAAATAACTGGTATTCTCAGGTAACAGGTAAGCTGAGGAATAAGTACCAAGTATGTCAGTGTGTTTTTCTTTTGAAAACTATCAAACAATTTATGTATGGATTTGTAACGTTAAAACAATGTACTTGATGTGAACAATGTCGGTTGTAATATATTGATGCATGGTGATGTTTATGTTATGATTCATGTATATTAATTGTGATGATATTCAATTTATGTCACACGAGCCCTCGGACATTTCCGCCGTTTGGTTCGGGGGTGTGATAGTGTACACAAAAGTACGTTGGGCGTACATACCTCGTACGCTGGGCGTATATCTGAATGCTAAGCGTACCACTTGGTACGCTGCGCGTTCTCGAAGTTTGTGCCTAAAGCTTCAAAAATTCATATCTTTCGTATACGGGCTCCGTTTTTGATGTTCTTTATATCCACACATAGATGAAATTATGCTCTACAACTTTTGTTTAGACTCCTTTGGCTAATTTCAACTTTATTTTTAAAGTTATATTTTAACTGGCCGGGACAGGAAAAGTCCGTTAAAAATTCATAACTTCTTTATCCGACGTCCGTTTTCTTCTGTATTTTTACCGTTGAACTACTATTAACGAGATCTTTGATTCTCGTTTAGGTTGTATCAGCTAAAAAATGCTCGATCTATAATTCAAATTTCGAGCTGAATACTGTTATGCTGATTCTTAGAAAAATCATAAATTCCTCATACACGTTCAGAGTTGGAGGTTGTTTTTATAAAAGTTCTCGTTTTAATGAATACTACGACTTTTATTTAGATCACAAAGGTTAAAAAGTAGTTTATTGTAAACTCACTTTTTACGTCATATGGCGTTGTGCTAGTTCTGTCGCAAAACTTCAATAAGTCATAACTTCTTTGTTATAACTCGGATTTCAGTGAGATTTTTGCCTAAATGTTTCTAACGATCTAATTTACAACTTTCTATAACATTAGTTTTACTTATTTCCAACTTAATTTTATATGTTCGTTAATTTTGATAACTGAATTTTTGATCGGAATCTCATAAGACTTCTCATCACTTCCAATACTTTCCGAATGATTCTAAACATAGATTTAATTCGAATCTCATAAAACTGTTAGAACTCAACACTCAAAATTATATATTATTTAATAATATTCACCTTTAAGCTATCAAGTTTACAAAATACGACAATTATACAAGGTTATTAACGTGTATGTTACAAATCAGAAGAAACAAATTGGAATAATTTCACAAATGGGTACCTGTTAACACAAACTGGTCCTTGTGAACAAAAAATTACATCATTTTAATCAATATTTCAACCATATTTCATCAATTCCACGAATTATTATTCAATAATTCATCAATTTCACAAATCTATACCTATTAACACAATATATCATCAATTTTCGTCAACACAGATCCATGCACTCCCAAAGGTATGGTAATCAATATTTCAGAACATCACATGTATCAAAATCGAAGGATCAAATCACATACAGTGCGAGGAAAATTGAAAATCGACATTTTCTTTGCTAATGAAAATCAAAAATCGACACAAACGAAAACGAAATCGGAGTTTAAACTTACCTGATCGGAGACGGAGAAATGAGACGCCGACAACGGTGTTGACCGGAGGAAGATCACCGATGGCTTGGAGGAAGATCGTCGATGGCTTGATAGATCAGTGAACGACAGAGAAGGACGAGGGTGAGCGGACAATACGAGAACGAGAGTAATGAACATATCCAATTGACTAGGATAGTTAGGGGTATAAAAGTAATTTAAGTTTTACGTAGTTCAAAAGCTTCAAAAAGTTTACCCGACTTTTCAAAACACACATTTTTCTTCTATCTAAAAAGTTGTTTTTAAAAGTTCTTTTCCCTTTACTAAACACCTTTTAGCTTCTTTTTAACTTTTAGAAAAAAGAGAAAAGCTAAAAGTTGTTTTAAAAATAAAACAAACACCCTCCAATTATTCAGTTGATTTTTATTTGAAAATTCCGTTACTTTTTATTGTATTTACCCGAAAATACGGGTATTCGTAATTTGATTCTAAAATAACAATAGAAGTCCTTGAATAAAGGCGGGCGGGAATGGAGGTGATCGACTGGAAGCAAATATTGGACACCGGCGAGAAGATCGGTCGCTCGTTCTTCAAAATTAATCGATAAATCAACTTCAAATCTAACATTTCCTGCCGATTTACAATTGCAATTTCGGATCAATCACATCAAATTTACACAAAAACAGTCTCAAAATGTCGTGGCAAACTTACATTGATGAGCATTTAATGTGTGACATCGATGGCAGTGGTCAACATCTCTCTTCCGCTGCCATCTTCGGTACCGATGGCACCGTCTGGGCTAAGAGCACTTCCTTCCCCCAGGTCTCTATCTCTAAACTTATTTCCTCATTTTAGGAATGATTTCATCCATCATCATCGCGATTTTCTGCTTTTGTGATTCTCAACAAATTCGTTTTGTGGCGCTGATTTCATATTGATCTGATTCGTCATACATAGGAATCTGGTAATTAATTTCTTTGTTATATTTCGTGATGAATATACTCTTGATAGATCTGATCGTGTTATATTGTAATTTGTTCATAATAATTCAATGCATGATACAAGTCAATTGCTATTAGGATCCGACTATTTGTACATTTTTCAACTTCAATTCTCTTCTCTTCCCCTTATTAGAGAAATCATTTTTTCATCACTTCACATTATAATCTTCACTATCTAAATGACTAAGTCTATTTCAACCTTATCTATGCAGTATAAAACCGAAGAGACCAATTCTATTATCAAAGAATTCAATGAAGCAAGTCATCTGGCTCCAACTGGTTTATTCCTGGGGGGTGCAAAGTACATGGTGATCCAAGGAGAGGCTGGAGCTGTCATTCGTGGTAAAAAGGTAACATACTTTTCGATTTATATTATCATTATAGGATCTTACTTTTATTTATTTTTTCCTACCCACAAAGTGCAATCCCTTTATAGGGAGCTGGAGGGATATGTGTGAAGAAAACAACTCGAGCCATGGTGTTTGGGTTGTATGATGAGCCAGTCGCACCTGGACAATGCAACATGGTTGTTGAAAGGTTGGGTGATTATTTGTTGGACCAGGGCCTATAGGGTCCACAAAGGTCTTCTTGTTATTCAAACACTTATGTATACATATGTTTTGTGTCTATACTCTATACTCTCTTTCACAAATTGGGATACATGATTTTTTTGGAGTTGTGATGTGATGTTATTATATATGTATCGTTGCAATGAGTCGAAAAGGTTGAATACCTTGTACTCTAAATGGACGAGAAGGCTTATTATGTGAACAACAGATATCTCGTAGTAAAAATTGATATTCTTTTGGTATTGTGGATGGATTGTTGTGTTTTGTTGGTTTTTTTTTCGTTTGTTTTTTGTCAGTAAAAAACTGGTTGGATCAATTTGACAATTGAAATTAGACGAAACAAACCGAATATGATTCTTTTTGGAAAGGAACTAGATAGAAAAGTTTTCATAAACAAACATATGGTTAAAATCTTGGGCCAATTTGATGAAGATGATAACAAACTTTTGTATTTTTTTATAGTAATATGGTTTAAAAGGATCTCGAAAATATTAAACATTCAAAAAGATTTAGGGTAAATGTTGCAAGTAACATGGATTAACTCTCTAAATTTTATTTTTTATTTACGTTTAAATAATAAGTGTTTTCTTTATTTTTCCATTTTCACAATTTTATTGATTAATTCTTTCAAAAAAATTGAAAGCCTTTTTTTAACTGTTTAAGTGAATAAATCTTCTAAAAATGTTTAATGACTTGAGAGAGTGTAAGCTGTATGTACATAGTTAGTCAGTAAACTATATTTTGTATGTGATTTACCATTAAATTCTCTTTGGGTGTTTAAAAACTACCACTATGAATTTATGATCGGATATTTTTAATTAATTGAAAGAATTAGAGTAAATGTTGATTTGGCATCAATGTGGTTGAGATGGAAGTGGATGCATATAGTGTCGTTCCATATTTATTTGGAGACATGGGTGGGAGTGAGGTATATGAGGTAAAGTATCGATAGCTGATGACGTTTCAAAGTCTTGTAGAGTTGTAGTCAAGCAAAAGGTTACTATCAGAGTGAAACACTAACTACAGATCATTCTAAGTAGGTAGTGACCATTCTAAGTGCGTTAGTGGATACTAGCGGGTTTGGTACGTGTTGGTGTTGTGTGGTTTCCTACAAATGTGATGTAGTGTATTGTTTCCTCTCGATGTACTCTGTCTCTATGTGGTTTCCCTTATGCCCTCCCCAAGTTAGGTATTAGTGATGGACTTGGGATACGTGATAGATGAGATGAACGTCTTCTATTAGGAAGAACAAAAATACACATACTTGATGTACTTTACATTGAGATGAATATATGTGATTGGATGTGGTTTTTATGCGATGTGTGCTTCATATGCTATGTGTCCTGCCTATGTGTATTGTGATTATGATGGATAACTAATCCTAATGTACGACCTTTAATGCATCTTAGTTTTCCCAACCCAACAACTGTTCCTAGATTACATGAGCTTGAACTAACATTCATATGAGCTCAAACCATGATTTGACCCTTGTTGCTATGCATGTAGATAAAAAAACAAGTTCAAATGATGAAAATATTTTGGTCATGTAATTTAATAGTCGGTTAGAGTACTCTAGGAGAAAAAACCTTGGTAGTGGTGCCTTTGTGGGGTTACTTTGATTTTGTTCATCTTTCTATAATAAGATATGGTCATGTACCTTATAACTTTTGTTCAAATGAGAGTCTATTCTCTAGAATGGAAAAAATGCTGTAATAATTTCTCTTAATCCAATCATTTAGTTTAATTCTTCTCTATTTTACATATTTCAAACACATATCATACCAGTTTGTTTGTTTTGTTTTGTTTTGATTTTTGTTTTTGTTTTTTTTTTGTTTTTTTTTTGTTTTTTTGTTTTTTTGTTTTTTTTTTTTTTTTTTTTTTTTTTTTTTTTTTTTTTTTTTTTTTTTTTTTTTTTTTTTTTTTTTTTTGTAGTTATACTTATAACTCATGCTTAATTTTGGGTTTGGATGAATAATTAATTTATTTGTTTCTTTATTTTAGATCAACATGTTGTTGTCCTACAAACATATCTATATTTGTGATTTGGGGTGATTCTGGTGAGCTTGTAACATCCCAAAAATACAGTCTGAAAATTTCGTTTTAAATCAGTAATAAAACCATATTCATCAACGTCATATAAGAATCTTAAACAATGTATATCAAAATATCATAACAACTGTCAAACATATCAAAGTATAAACATTCCAGGCTGAACAAATGGTGTGTGCACTGCAATCTTCCCGAGCTCCTCTTTTGAAAACTGAGTACCTGAAACCAAAACTGAAACTGTAAGCACGAAGCTTAGTAAGCTCCCCCAAACTACCACATACCATACAATAACATATAAACACATATTGGGTCTTGCCCACTGCATCGGACAGAAGTCCGGAAACTACATCGGACCGAAGTCCGGAGCTGATTGGGACCCCGTCCCCTGCATCAGACCGAAGTCCGGAACTAACTGCATCGGACCGAAGTCCGGAACTGACTGGGACCTTATCCCCTGCATCGAACCGAAGTCCGGAACTAACTGCATCGGACCGAAGTCCGGAAATTGTCTGAGCATAACATGGCATGGCATAAACATATCAACTAGCATAAACACATAAACTGCATACTGCATCGGGTCGTAGCCCGAAACACATAACACATAAATCCTGTCTGAGCCACGAAGGCATCAAACATACTAAAAACTACATCGGACCGAAGTTCGAAAACTACTACTAGCTAAACGGGCCGGTATTGTGGCCTTAGACCCATTCCTACTGGAAGGAAACTCACCTCACACTGTTGAAGTCCCGTAGACACAATCCCACACTGCTGAAGTCCCGCAGACTCAACCCCAGCCGCTGGATGATAGATTCCCGAACTGTCAACACCAAAATAACACCCAATTAATAATTGGGTTCTAACACATAACTATAAATACATGCTTTGGATAATTAATACATTACCCCTAGCTTGGCTTACCCAAGCCCAAGGCCCAATCCATAGGCCCAAAGTCAACTAGGGATCAAAGCCCAACATATGGCCCAATTTTCCAAATTGGGCCTAAACCTCTACATGGACTTCCCTTAAGGTCCAATTGTTCAATCCAGTCCAACATCTCTCATTCTAGGGGCCCAACATCATACAACCATCTAGGCCCCAACTATGGCCCAATTTTCCAAATTGGTCCCAATCCTTCATATGGGCCTTACCCTAAAGCTCAACTAATTACTCTAGTCCATTTAATTATTCTTGGATGGCCCAACACAAAGCCCAAGTGAAATTAGGGTTTCACATAAAATGAAAATTAGGGTTAAGTGTTTCTCACTTAACCCATTAAGGGCTTATCCCATTAAGTACTTAATTCGTTAAGGACTTAATCCATTAAGTCCATTATTGTTTAGATTAATCCTGCCAATGATTATTATTTAATATTTCACTTATTAAATAATTCTCGTGTGTGTCCTGATAATTTCTCAAATATTAGGATTTTCTCAATTAGCCCATTAAGGACTTAGTCCATTAAGTCCTTTACTCTACTAGATAAATGACATGGAATAATTGGGCTTAATATTCAATCCAATCTCAATGGACCAAAAGTGGGTCCAATAAGTCTAAGGCCCAATACTCATAATTAGGGTTTTCCACCGAAACATGGCCCAATAGGCCCAAAACCAAACTCTATGCCCATTAGGGTTTGCTAGTGGGGCACCACCTACTACCACCTCGGGTAGTGGTGGTCAATGGCGGCACACGGCAGCGGACACCATCTTACGGTGGTGGTTTTGAGTTTCTTTTTATTATTCATCTTGCTAATTACAATTACAGTGCTTAACTCAAAATGATCACACACATACTAACTAATTATAACACATGTACATAACCACCCTAGCGGTGGTCGGCGGCTGTTCTTGGGAATTCCAGCTAGACAACACACACATATCACACACTAAATATGGAAATACAGTCCCACACACGTGATTATCATTTGCACTATGGACCCAACCACCCACCTGGTGGCTCACGGTGGTCCTGCAGCAGCAGTAACCTCCAACAGCAATAATAGTAGCACATCGACATGGGAAAGCGATGGAAGGAGGCGGAGAGGGGCGTTCCAGATCGACTGGCACAAAGATCAGCAGCATCAACGGATAGCGGCTCTATGGCGGCGGATAGGCTCACCATCGATCTTTTGATCACTCACGCCTCTTGCAGCAGCAAAACCCCACTCGGTTGTCGATCTTGGCGGCTATCACGGCGAACACGTCATTACCAGCAGCGGGGCTGCGACGGCGGAAATCCATGGCGAAGCAGCAACGATTGAAGTCATTCCCATGGTTGCGGCGGCTGGGGACCTTTGCTCCGACTTGGTCTCCAACAAAGCTCTTGGTCAGAAAGGTGGCGCAAGGTTGCTGGCTTCGTTGGTCTTACTCGTCGGCGACTGATCGTAGAAACAAGGGGGAAGGGTCGGTGATGGCGGCTGGAGGAGGGGTGATAAGGTGGGGATGATGGCTAGTGCTACCAGTTAGGGTTAGGAGGAAGTGACGGGTTTATACCCGGTCACATGGGAACTTTGGCCATAATTCACTTCCAGTCCCTCATATCAAATTCCATTATCAAATTAGGTCCCAATAATGACTATGAAGTGAATCCGAAACTTACATTTTTACAAAGTGAATCCGAAACTTACATTTTTAACCCTTGACTACTAAAACTGTGACAATTACTCCTTGAATCCAACACCATGCTATATGATTATTGATTTTAGGGCTATCATACAATCATTAATTTATTTATTTAATAAACGGGGTGTTACAACTCTCCCCCTCTTAAATTAGATTTTGTCCTCGAAATCATTCCTTACACCCCCAAATACTCTAGTAACATGGTCACAATCCTGGGCACACCCTAGCCTTCCCAGGGCAACCATGACCAACGTTCGCAAGGCCCTAAAATCCACGGGTGAACTAATTCCTATCGATAATATCACCTCTACCCTATCGGAAATCTGTTGTCTCGAGATGGTATGCATCCCTGACAGACCACTCATTCTGAATCATTATCGTTGAGTCAAGTCTGTTTATCCCTCAACTGACTACTCAACTTCTAATAGCTCGAGGTTCCCACTATAAACAGGATCACAAACCTAATTATCCCTACAGATCACATATACTTGGCCAAGACTGAGATAATCCCACTATGAGTGACTTAGCATAACCCAAGCTACCTGCGACTCTAACCTTACATGGAATTCCAGAATACCACTACTGCTTGAGACACTGAAACTGTATGAAGCACTGAACTTCCCGAAACACTAAACTGCCTGAGCACTGAACTGCCTGAACGCCGAACTGCCTGAAACAGCATGCTACTACATGGCTGCTTTCCAACATCTATCGAGACCTTCCTGGTCTCAGTTCATTCATCAGTTATCTGAAATACGGGTTTCCAGCTTGACTACGGAGCCAAAAGACTCCCTACTTAGTCGCCTTTCATGACTTCTGAACGAAATGATTCTCTGGAGCTAGTTGCTACTAGTTATCTTGTCAATGTGGCCCTAACGACCTTTTGATCTAACTGACTGATTCCATACGTCGAATCCTGACGTCACCAAACCCAATGCTAAAAGCGATTGCTACTAGACCCATGGTAGCCTTATCTCACACGTTCTTAAGCAGTCCATTGCTTTTCTAATCCCATAACTATAGTGGTGCTTCTACCGTCTTAACACTATCTTAACCAGGTCTAATCCATCTGGGTAATTCCGAAATCCAATCCATGGATTTCCATATCCTCACTGCTATACCCGAACTGGTGGGTACTACTGTTCTTCTCGCGTCCTAACAGCGTACTCACGCTATCTACCATCCTAGTGAATGCTACGGCTACACCCGCAGAATCATAACACTTTATCACTGTCTGGCTGCTCGTTAATGCTACGGCTACACCCGCAGACTTACATCACTCTAACACTATCTGGCTGCTAGTGAATGCTACGGCTACACCCGCAGACTTACAACACTCTAACACTATCTATGATGGATCTAACACGTGCTTGACCCGTACTCAGCTGAACTCATGTCCTGATTGGGATCCCCAACCGGATTCTTGCTAGTAAACATTCCGAGAACGCGATATCATCTTTGGCAAGTTTTTTCCAAACTTCCATCTCACACTCTCCTCGAACCATACAACCACATGGGTTGTCTTCCTTTCAGACAAGCATGCAAAACTTATCCTAGTCTCAAAACTGCTCCTGCTTTTGAATCCTTGGCCGATTCTCCCCTTCTTTGATTCAGCTAATGCCCTACAGCACACAAAACTGGAAGAATTCCTAATCTTTCTCACCACCCATGACCAATCTGCTAGAAACCACGCTTACCATTGCTAGTGTTCAACACCATCTAATCCAAAAGATCACACAACATATAAAAATCCGAATAAATCTCCAGTAATAAACCGCTAGACTCAAGAAGCTCTGAATCTCAATTGGAGACCTCGGAATCTCCCACTACATCATGGCCTCTATCTTGGCCGAATCGACTAGAATATCCTTCTGATTGACAAGGTGCCCAAGAAATTGCGCCCTGTGTAACCAGAACTCACAATTGGAGAACCTTGCGAAAATTCTCTCCCTCCTCAAAGTCTCTAACACTCCCCGCAGGTGCTTCTCGTGCTGCTCCTCAGTCTTGGAATAAACCAAGATGACGATGTACTTTCCCAATCCCATAATCTGGGGGATTGCTCTATCACTATTCACTAATGCTTCTCGGCATGCAATTGGCATATGATAGCTCTTAAAAATATAATTCAGACACGAACCGAGGATAACACAGGGTTACACTTACTCAACCTTTGGAACAAAAGGCTCCTTTGTGCAGTTTCTCGCAAGTGATGCACCGATCCTGACCCCGCTGGCCTCTCAGAAGCTGATCTGAAATCTACGGTCTCCTCCCGAGACCCTTCATTATAAGCAACTGATCTGGTTCCCTCTTAACAATGTGCTCTAAGTCAATATCCCGCTCTCGAGCTCTAGAAGTCATATCATTCAGGGTCTTGCACCCTGAGATACTCATGATCTCCCTGCTATCATTCCATAATATGTTCTGATAACTTACCTTCTTCACTTCCTCATCTGTTGCATACTGTGGTACCATATAAACTCTTTCCCGAAACTTGGCAGTGATCTCTACCACAGTCTTAGTCGCCTAGTGGAGATCTAACAACTCTTGCGCCAACTACTGTGCCTCAATCGCTTAGGCACACTCTGACCAGAATCTGGTCTGGAATTCATCCCATGACATAGCATCAACCACATCATCACTCAACTCACTACCAACCTCTTCCTATCAATCTCGTGCTCTATCCCTCAGGAGATAGTAAGTAGGTCAGATCTTGTCTCCTTTCGAGACCAGATTCTTATGTGTAGTGTGTTGATTGTTACGATTTGATAGGAAGTAACACCTGTAACACCCTATTTCGAATCATTTCATAATTCGGGGTCGTGACCCGAAGATCGGTTATCATAAGGCTTAGGGCCTTTGGGGAAAGAACCTTAGAACCCCTTTGTGTGTGGATAATGTAGGTTAGATGATCTGGGGGTTCGGTTTGTGTTTTAGAGTCCAAGGATATATCGGTAAGCATCGGTTCAGACCTTTTATGGATTTTAGATTTTAATTTGAAAAGATTTAAGGCAAGGGTGAGTTGATACATGCGTAGAGCTCCTCTTTACCTTTCCATGGATATAAAGATTGTCGAAATCGGACATAAAACAAAGAAGTTATGGTCTCCGGAAGTTTGGTGTTTTAAAGGATAAGCCTTGTACGTAGGGCTTACAAGGGAGTACGTTGGGCGTACTAGGTAGAAGGATTCGCGGGCACCTTATGGAGTACGTTGAGCATATTAGGAGTACACGGGAGTACTCCAGCCAGAAGAAAACCCTAATTTTTAGGGTCTTTGCCTTATTTAAACAAATTTTCTCACCCTTTGACACTCCATTATCCAGCCTCCGTACCTCCTAAACCCTAATTTCGACCCTTAGCCACCATTTTTGTGCTCTTGAGCTCTTGTGAAGAATATTGGTGCTTTCTTATAGATTTTGAAGTGATAGACGGATATTGAAGATTCATTGCTTGGAGTGAAGCTTTAAGATCTAGAATTATCACCCCTTTTGCAAGCCATTAAATGTATAAAGTTCTTAGCTTGACAACTCCTTGTGTAGATCTAATTTGGGTTGATTTATGACTTATTTTGGTCCTTTTTGGTTGGTCCTTGTGAGTAAAGGTTATTCTAAGAGTTTAACCTCTAGATCTGGATGTTTTAGAGGTCCCTAATGCATAAAAATGTCACCTTTATGGGTTTTGTGCATCCATGCAAAGTTGATGTCTCATTTTATGGAGCTAAGATGCTAGATTTGCATTTTGGAGTATCTTTAGCCATGCAAAGGCTTAAAGCCTTTGACTTTATGGGTTAAGACCTTAATATGAAGATATCTTGTAGATTGGATAGTAAGTTCTAAATTGATTAAGTCATTTGGCCAAAGAGTTGGGATCAGGCCGGTACACGGGGTGTACTCCTAGGTAAGCTGAGCGTACTGGCTGTGGGTCCGTGTCTGCAACGATTGCGTACGAACTTGGTATGTCGAGTGTATGCTAGTCTGGGCCGAAGAGATTGTTTGTTTGTATTTTTGGGCCATGCTTTAGACTATTAAGATTTAGGCCTTTGTAGGGCCATTAGATTTTTGAATTTGGACTTGCTTTTACTTTTAAGCTTCCTTGGATTTAGTCCAATGTTGGGGTTTAGGCCCAATTTGGAAGAGTTGGTCATAATGGGCTTTGGTTTGCCAAATAGGATTTGGGTCTTTTTAATAGTGGATTGAGCCTTGGTTTTGGGCCATGTAAGACCAAGGATAAAATGGTCTTTTACCCTGGTTATGGGCTAGGTAGCTCAGACTCTTGGTCTTGGGTCGGGATACAATGATTAAATGGGCATTATTTTGATGATGATAGCACAAAGATCTTTCGGACCAGCTGACGAGTTTCATTTGAGTGTTTCAGCAGCTAGATGTGAGTCTCTTCACTATACTCGTGGGTCGAAGACACCAATGCCGACCTACTAGATTATGTTTGTAGGATGATGGTTGTCTTTGTAACACTTGTTGATATGTCTGCACGTGCTTGTTGTCTTTGTGACTCATGCTTATATGTTTGTATGATTTATGTATTGAGCTATATGGGATCGGAGTCATTACGGACGTCGTGTTGATACGGACCAGACACAACTACAAGCTGTTATATAGAGTCAGTATGGGCTCGGGGTTGATACGGACTCAGGGGGTTGAGACGGACCCAACACAGCCACATGCTGTTATATTTGTATATATATGTGGTATGCGGTATCTTGAGGGAACTCAATAAGTTTTGTGCTTACATTTTTCAGTTTATGT